GAGGACTTCTTACCCCCGACGGCCGGCCTATCTACGGTAGCAAGCTTGAAGACAGTATGCCTGATTGTGGCGAGTTGAGCCTCGATGGATGGGATGATTAGTCTCACGAACACACCAAAAAAAAACCAATACAAAAATCGACAAAACGCCGAAGAAAACCCAAAAAATCCACCCAAAAAAATACATATTAATTCCACGCGAGTCTTTCAAAAAGAAAATATGGAATTATACAAACACAAAACAGAAATGTGGTCTTCATTGGCCTTTATTGATACCCCGTCTCTGGCGGATTACCGTTTTATGAAATGGCCGAGGCATTACGGCCAGATTGACCTCTGGCCAAGGCGTTGTACATGTCTCCTGGAGGATAGGAGACTTTTTTGAATATTCATTTTTTTTTGTCCCTTTTTTATTCCTTTTCTCTTTGCATAATTTGTTTGGTGCTAAAAGGATGGGAGGTTATTATTTTATTTTTTATTTTTTTTTGAACATGGAATTGATGCGGCGTTGCATATTGATTGATTTGAGGGGGAGAGGATCGCCAACTTGGGGATAATCAGTTGGGAGCCCTCAGGGGGCGATCGTGTACAATCCGCTACAACGTGTTGTTGCTTTATTCTTTTTTTTTTTATTATTATTATTTATTGTTTGTACTACCACCTCAATTATCACACAAACTGGCATAATATACACAAATCCAAAATCGAGATTCGAGATCTACATTGTCGCACTGCATCCCTAATTACTATTTCTCTCTCCTGTATGGATATCTGGAGTATATTACCCACCTTTTGAGGACTTACCAACGCCTTGGGCTGAACTTGTGTTACAACATTCCATTTCGCCTCTCGCACGGCTCCTGATCTCGGGAGAATTGAGACATGCCCCAAAAATCTTACATATCACAACCCTCGGGGCTCTAGATCCTCAGTTCCTGGATCTCTCCAAACCGATCTGTCTGGTCGATTTGGGTGGATCAAAATTCGAACAAATCGGGCCTCTTGCAGACATCGAGCATGGTTGAACTGTACTCTTTACTCGTCTCGTCTTGGAACTCTCCACATTCCATTCCTAAACGGGGTTCTTCCCATCATCCCGTGTCAGAATGGCCATGTCATAGTCTCTTCACCGCGGCTATAGGCATCGGTTACCCCACTATCAGAATAACTACTGTATTCTTTATGTGGAACACAATGCCCAGAACACGCACTACAATATTACGGAGTACTGCAAATCACAATGGGCGAGCTGATACTTCACTCCATGACCCACGCCACTTTCGACAGCGCAACCAACATCGCTAGTAGCATGTATCAGATAGCCATGTGGAGCCCCATTCTCCCGTTCTCTATGAAGACCCGACCCTTAGAACAGTTTAACGTAGTTCTAAGAATAGCACAGAGCGCCAAAAAGCAAGTGCGGAAACGAGATGGGAATGAGAAAAAGCAAAAAACTAAAATAAAAAAAAAGGAAAAGGAATTCAACGTACTACGTTGTACATGCTGCATGGCCAAGGACACAGTCAAGAGCCGCGCTCCTACGGTGCCTAGACTCTCACCACCATGGGTGTTCATGCGTCACTCCCCATTCTTCCTCATTCCTAATTCCTTGGGTATTAGCGTGTTCCGAGCAAAAGAACTAAGATCAACGTTCCATGACAAAGGTCCCGTCACCCTCGGGATTAAAAAGGATATTTGCTTTTTTGACTAATGGATCGTCGTGCATTGAATCTCTTCCCGTTCCCCCAAAGTCCAACGCAGGATGATGGTAGGGTCTTTTATCCTGCACATCCACTACCGGCATATACATTCTTCGGCCCTTATCTCTTAGTTACCCTCCAAAGTACAACATCCCACGGTGTTGACCTCACTTATTTTCCGATGTTAGAGATATTCCACTAACTCCAAACTGTATTCCCCAACTACCCCCAAACCCAATCCCAGATTCCAAATCCCCCCATTCCAAATAGACAAGAGTCCACTACTACACCGATGTTTGGAACATTGTGCGGTGAAGTGATTATCTAGGCACGACGTTAAATTAGCCCGATCCCCATGCTCTGCATGTGCCTAGTATACTGTTACACCGCGCTATGTATATGCCACGCCGTACAAATCGGGAATGGGGGAAGAGTGTCCGGGCGCAATGATATGATATACGGGAATGATATCCAACCGCATTTCCATTCTATTGGTTTTTGTTCCTTGATCTCGTCCTTTTACCATGCACAATAGTACCTATAAGGATTAACGTCTGGGGTTACATCCACCTATCCGCTAGGCTATTGATCCTGTAGCTATTGGTCCTGTATGTATTTTTGTTTTCCCTTTTTCCCTATTTGATCTATTTTCGAGATTGCGGGCGCGAACGATCGGTGAACTGTTGTTCATGGAATCCCTTGTTTTTTTCCTTTCGTATATTCACTTTCCCTATTTAGTATCAGATAGGACGAACGTAGTATCAATGTAACTAATATGCACCCGTACCCTATGTGGCCACTTACCACATTCCAGGGGAAAACTCTCCCGGCCACCTAGATGATGACCATCAACACACTTATAGCCACCGTATCGGTATGTCTGTGCGTCGTAGACTTAGAAATCGAGGTAAACGTACTCCGTAGTAAGGTGAGACATTATACAAAGTTTAGAACAACATAGCTACAAACCTTCTAGCCTCAGAGTCAATGGTATCGGTGCTGATGCAATGTCAATCTCGCTTGGCGTTTATATGCGACCACACTTTTTCGATTGGCCCTGCATACACGCTGTACCGATCTACACCAACTAGCTGGGTGGAGGGTACGATGTACAACGATGTACATGCATTGGAATGTGATACTCGAGCGTTAATGAGGTTGGTTCTAGACTCTGAGCTTTGGGGATGTTTTAGTATGAGATATTATTTTTTCTGGGGGGTGATGGTTACTTTTGTATGCGATGCAACGTCAATATTAATTATTCTATTCATTCTGTGTCTATCAATGTTTATCAATGTTCATCAATGGGAATAGTGAAGATTTCCAACTGTTCCTATTCGTTCGGCTTACCTGGTCCTCGGGTGATGCGCGACGATCATTATCCCTAGCTTCTTCGGCTCCGGGAGTCTCGAAGTGGCGGTCCTCACAGTAGAGTTCATATCTCTTGGTGCATGATTTCTCGCCTTGCTTTTAATCCTGTTGGTTCGAATTGTTGAATTTCGTTTGCTTCTGTCATATTACTGGTGATCTCATGGTTATTCTTGAGTGCACTTTACTGACTGGAACAAATAGTTCAACAGTCTATCTAGTCTTATAGACTGACTAGACCCCCATTATATCCATTCTCGGCCTTTTTATCAGCTGATAACTATCATGTTATCACTTGCAAAGTCATCAGACATCAAAATCCCACATGAATCCCCTGATCATGTACAACGGCCTTTCAACATCATTTTGGACGTCACTTTAGGCGTCGCTTTTCTGGATATTCCCCCTCTTGTCGGTGTTGTAGTGAGAATATAGAAGGAACGGCGTTCTCTTCTATGTACAACTATAACCTTGGATTCGGCTGTTGATACCTTTCCCGATCGGGAACACGCTTAGTCATTGACCCGCTTCCCGCTGACACATCATTTATGTAATCACACGATATAAAAACTCGGCGCACCAATTTTCAACAGCTCCTTCACATAAAATCCGACATCTTCTGTCTGCCACTCGACACACAACAATATGCTTTGCGAAGTCATTGCTCAAGGGATTAATGTCTTCCCCTGATCAATGGCTTTAGCTTTGCCTCTATACACCCCTTTCATCTCACGAGACAACTCTGGTCTCTCCTTACTATGATGATCACCATTTCTATTGACATGAACTTCTCCATGAATGTTTCAAAAATATCAAGCTCAACAGTCTGAGTACCGATTGACCAGAGAACAGTCTCAGGAAAGGAAGTGATAGCCACCATACATACTGACGATGTCTTTTGATATCCCCCCTTTTTGATAGCTTTGATACCTTATGTATCCAATTGAATACTTACAATCATTATCCTGTGCCTTTTTTTTTTTCGCCTTCCCCTTTCCCTTTCCCTCTTCCACAGCTTCGCAGCTTATAGCACGGATGTCAAATTGCGATCCGGCCCTTTCATGGCCGCGGTCGCGCCGAAGAAGTGCTTATATCGAAATGGAGATTTATCTCCCTAGCCAGTGAGTACTAGATTTTTGTCCTACGGTTCGCCCGAGGTGTCAAACATCCATTGAAGATCTGGAACATCTCGTATTTATTCGTAGACTTCGTTTATATAATATGAATTCATCACTTTTGATTCTGCTTCGTCTGATCCTTTCTGCACTTGGTTATAGTAGAAATTCAAAGCAACATTGAGACCCTCATGCTGTCACACTGCAATATGTACTTAGACCGATGCTGGAATCGTCCCAAGGTGTCTCCCAGTAGACATAGGATCGAGGACATTCAAGCTAATCGAGAGACCAATACAGACCAACGAATCTACAGAACAGTAAACAAATAGAAGCCAATTGTTGCATTTTGTGCTATCAAATTCAAGGTATTTCCACAATGCAATTTGCAATCCAAACCCCATAGACGCGTCGTGATATCAAAATAACTCCTGTACAGAATGGTATCGAGTTTGATAAATCCCAGGGTTCCCACCGAAAGCCGCGCCAAAATAGTACAATTGAAAAGAAAAGAAAAAAAAATAATGAGCAAGACAAAAAATAACGCCGTCCTCTCCAATCTCCACGATGCCTGGTCCCTGTACAAAACCCCGGGATTTCAGAAAAGCAAAACAAAAAAAGAACAAGAAAAAAGGTCAAAAGCAGAGACATTGAGCGGTTGCTAACCAATGACCCACTGCCGTTGGGTAAATGCTCATCATAAATCGACCTCGAACCAGATTTTACACCGGTGAAATTGTAAATGTGGGAAAACCTCTGTCCTCGCAGGTTATCATCAATCTCGTATGTTGCCACGTTATACCAGTTCAGGATAGCCCTCAGTTATTCATACCACCCATGCTGTGCATCGACCCCTGCGCTTGCATTTGCTGGGCTTGCAACGCAGCCCGCTGTTGCTGCTGTTGCTGTCCGCCATCCCGCTCACGTCGCATGACCTCGGAGACCCAAGCTTTGGCAGTCTTTTCCAGCCCAGGACCATACTGCTGCGCAATATTGGAGGGATACTGGTTTGGTGGGCCATACTGAGCCATATACCGAGTCGACATATCATGTCGCATGCGAAGCAGCCGTTGTTGGTAGAGCTGGGTGTATCTCTGTGCTTGGTTCATGGGCTGTCCATTTGGACCCATTTGCCCACCATTCGCCTGTGCGGCTGCCATCAGCATTTGCTGTTGTTGCTGATTTGTTAACTGCGGATTGCCTTGATGTGGATGGGCTTGTTGTCCCTGCATTTGCGGGTGCTGGCCTTGCTGCTGCTGCTTGACTATTTGCATCTGCGCATATTGAGCACGCATGAGCTGAGCCTGGTATGCTTGCTGGCCTTGCTGAGTAACTTTAGGAACACCCTGGTGGTTTTGTTGCTGCTGCTGCTGCTGCTGCTGTTGCTGCTGCTGTAGCATTTGATGATGAGATTGGATATTCTGTTGAGCGTGGGCATTGGCCTGTAGGTGGGCTAGCTGCTGTGGCGTATACTGATTGTGCTGGATGTGTCCTTGTTGCGCCATAAGCGCTTGCTGTCGGTGTTGCAGCGCAATCTGTTGTTGTGGTGTGAAAGGCATGCCCCCGTTCATTTGCGGCGTGGCTGCCATGCCCGGATTCATCACCGGGGTCTGACCCATCGAGTGGGTCGGACTGCCATGACCCATCCGCTGAGTAGGCGTAACATTACGCATGATTGGTGTGGCATGCGACATAGCCGGCGTGCCCTGGGTCATCTGCGGAGTACCATGTCGGCTTGGTCCTTGCTGACTTCTCGAAGGTGCCATTGGGTGGCTCATAACATTCGGGTGCGCATGCTGCAAAGCAGATGGAGGTCGCGGTGGACTGCCAGATCCAGATGCGGTCATGGTCATCGGAACCGCCTGCGGCATAATGTTACCAACCAGTGGTGATGAAGTGGCATGTGGGGTCTGGTTACGTACAACAGGTGAAGACTGTTGGCCTTGACTGACGCCATTGGGCTGGGCCATAATGTGCCGATTTTGCTGTTGCGCAGCGAGTTGGGCCTGCGCCTGCTGGGCAGCAAGTTGTTGTCTCCGCGATTCCTCTTTCGCGTGTTCCTCGGCTTGCCGCTGCTCTATCGCACGGCGCCGCTCTCTCTCCTGCTCCTGCTGCTGCCTCTTGGCCAACTCCTGCTTCAGCTTCATTTCATGTTCACGTTTGGCCTTCTCCTCGTGCTGCATGCGAATCGTTTCAAGTGTCTTAAAACGAGAGAAGCGGGGTTCGAATGGTGCGACGCCACCGGCGTCATCCACGGCCGCAGCCTTTGCAGCGCCACCAGGGCCAGAAGCCGTGGGCTCCAGACGCTCGTCCATGATGAGCATAAATCTCTCCTCTTCGGCTGCCAGGGCTTCGTCCGCGGCGAGTTCGGCAACGGTTCTCTTTCGGCGCTTGGGCAAAGGTGGCGGGTCGCAATGCAGTGGGCTTTCCAGGTGCTTAAATAGCTCCTGGGCGGCCTCCATACTATGCACGGGATCCAAGAAGAGAGGAGGTGCCAAGGCCTGTATCATTTTAGATTCGCATTCCAAAAGATCCTCTGGTTCAACCAGCATTTTCTGTCTCTTCGCAACATGTCCACGATCTAGTTGACTACTTCCAGGGGTAGCTGAAGAAGTAGAGGAGCTTGGTTGAGCTGGTGCTTTGTTGGCTCTCGGGTCGGGAGTGGTGACCAGCAGTGTCAACTCTGCCTGCAAAGTTCGGGCAGTGGGGTGAAGAACTGTAGTAAATACTCGAGGCTTCACGGGGGCATTTTTCTGGCTTATGTTGCTGCTTTTGTCGTCTGTCTGCTCACCAATCGCCGGCCCATCTGTCTGTTGATTGGCAATCGGTGTCCCATCAGCCTTGGTGCCTTGTGTGGCCGATGTGAGCTGATTTTGTTTTGGGTATGGAACAAAAGCCGACGGGGTAACATGTTCGTTGTAGTTGTGTAGAGAGAATGGTGTGTTGTTCTCGTTGGAGGAGGTGGTTGATGCCTTTCTTGCTTGCGCCGAGACAGATTTGTGATCGATGACACGGACGATGAGGCAACCTGATGGTGTTAGCAGGGGTTCATTGAGCTACCTATTACAGCCGATAACTACCTTCATAGAACTGCACACCGCCTCGCAGAAGCTCCTCGATCAGATCATGCGGAACTGTCCCGGCACGAATGTGCTCGATGATGACCTTCATCTCGGAGTTATAAGGGAAGCTACCATCTTGCTGCTCAAATCGAAAATGTGTGGGATGTAAATGCACAATGAGGGACGGGGGACATTTCGAATATTTCTTGAGGATATAGGACGTAGTTTTCACTATGAGAAGAAGGTCAGTGATCGCGCATTGGCATTGCGAATGTCACGGAACTCCTTACCATACGGTTCTGGTGCTTTTTTCCCAGCTCGGTGTGCCTGATCTGTTGCAGCAGTCCTCGTTACTGGCCGGCCAGAGCGCGAGGACTGATCCACAGGTCTTTGCGATTGATTCCTGGTCCGATTAAGGGGGCCTTTCGTCGTGGAATTCGCCACATGGGCTACGCCATTTGTAAAATTGGAAGTTGCGTTGACGGAGGCTCCTGTGGGAAGACGCTTTGCGGCAGATGTGGGCGAAGACGAGAGGTGCTGGCCCTTGACTCCGTTGGCCGCGGCCTGGCTGAAAGGCGGGGGCGGCCGCTTCATCTTCTGGGTATGGGAGGCCGGCTTGGAAATTGCGGTCGCCATAATGTCTGCGCCGGTTGCGCAACCTCGGCGTGGCCAGTGAGTTAAAAATGCGACTTACCGGAATGCCGATTTGATGATGTTAAATGAAAGCCGTGCTCGGGAAATGAGTGAGATGGCCGATGCGCGAGACATGTGGGGATAGGTAGGGCGACACCGGTCCCCAGCACAGCTGGAATCAATGCGAAAAAGCGGTGGAGGCTGACCGAGTGGGATTAAAGAATGAAAGAAAGAAAGCACCCGTCCAATGATGCTGCTGGGAAGGGGTGAATCGGAGAAGCCGCTGGACGAGGTCTTGCAGAGGTAGGTCAACTGATGATGCCAAGCCGTGGGTCAACGTGAAGTCAGTCACATGACCCATTCCGAATTGGGACTAGTTAATTGATGAGACATAACAATGCGATCGATTGAATACATAGGTAGATGAATCAATTCTGAATGGCTTTAATACACTACTATGCCACGTTAGACAAATACTCGGTACATGTCAGAGCTAAGTGAGCCAATTCTGAGGGTTATCTATGTGGTAAATAGACAGACGTAGCTTACAGCAAAAGAAGCATGTATTATTGTCAAAAGTGAATCGTATCAAATGAAGACAAAAAAATTGGGAAAACAGGGGAATAGGGTCAATCAGTCATAAGCGGGTGTAGAAAGGGAAAGAAGAAAAAAGGAAAAAAACAATAGAACAGGTATAGACATGCGAGCAGACAAATATCAACATCAAAATCATGGGGCCGAAACTTGATCTGAACTAGTCCAGACCACGCACTCGTCGTCGCCAGTCATCTCCGACTCGGACAACATCAACCACATCAATGCGCTTGCCGAGTCCAGTGACGCCCTCTTTTTCCACCACTTGTCTTCCTTTTCACCAAGTGCTGACTCGTCATCACTGTCGATAAGCCCGCCACGGCCACCCTCGTCTCCGACCACGACGATAACCTGGCGAACCCATTGAGAAATATGGATGGCAGGGTCCCCCTGATCTCCAGTTAACGACTCTTGGACATAAACAAGCTCTGGGAATAGGTGGCGAGCGAGGTGCACATAGCCACCAGGGGTACTGAAAGGCATGATCATGCTGTCTTTCTCAACAAGCGCTTGTGCCTGTGTGTATAACGTTCTGAAGAGGCGAGAAGTGCCCTCTAATCCATCGTCCTGGCGGGGCTCGACCGCAGCCAAATCCCCAGAGGCCAGTTCCCCGATAGAAGCTCCTTCCTCGGTGCCAATGTTTGAATAAGACGAAGTCATGGATGGTAAGGTGGGAGATACGCCCCCTTCTTAATGGCGTGTTTCAATTCCGGAGCATAGATCAACACAAAGATCTTGGAGGTATTCAAATCGAGATGTTCAGGGAGATGGGATAGAATGGACTGTGATTGTCAGAAAGCGCACGGGGTGGGTAACAAGAACGAGAACTTCTTACCGCATGTTCAGAAGGAAATTCGTCGTCATCAGCCGATGTAACCGAGGAGACCACAATTACAACGACCTTGTTGTCCTTGTCAAGGATATTAGCTGGACGGCTTAGCAATCCACCACTCATAGTCGGCGTAATGGCGGCTTGTTGGCTTCTCTCGTGAGCTCTGGTTTGAGCCTCCTCCGACCATCTGGAGTGGTCCTCATAGTCGCCCTCGCCTTTGTTGTCTTCACGAATTGAGGTGAGAGCGCCACCGACAAAGGCTCCTGCGGCAGTGACGCCGGCCACAACTCTTTTGCTAGCGCCATCGAAGATCTGCTGAGGGCTAGGCGTGCGGCGCAAAGCACCTTGCATGCGAGCCATCATGCTATGATCATAGGAAGCATCTCCAGGCAGTATCTCCGCTCCTGCGCTTCGGGCATAATCTCCGGTAGTATAGGAAGGTGGAGGGTGGTCACTTCCGGGTCCAACAGGAGGCGGGTAAGGGCGACCATCTCCGTGGGGGCGGTCATCTTCGTCTTCGTCGTCGTCATCATTTCGTTCACTCCAGATCCAAGCTGCAATGCTAATAGTTGCGACTCCAGCAGTTAAGGCCAAGGGCAGCCAGTATCCCATTGCCGTTCGTCCGCCAGTTGAGCTGAACCCAGTGCCGGCTCCGCCGCGGCGCCGAGGATCTTGAGAGAAGGACATTGCGATCGCGGGGTGTTCAATTAAAGGTGGCACATCTAACGGCTATTAATCGCGGTCGCACTGACTCGCTGGTTGCATTTCACACGTCAATTTGCAGAATAAGAGGTTGGGGAAAGGAAAACGAGGGAAAGGAGGCAGACGTCTCTCCTCGGGTCTTAGAAACATGTGGCTGGTGATTACCGCGGGTGTTTACTTATGTTTGTACTGTTTGCGTCCTGCTAAATCTGGAGGCGGGTCACAATCACGTGTCATTCCAAGGTTTCCCGCTGGGATTATGTAAGTGGTTTTTCTGACTCCTCCGAAGCAGGGCTTATCGGTTTGAGAGAAATATATGACTAGGTGTGAAGACTCGCAAGCGCATTGTTGGTTTAGATCATGCCTCACTCAGTATCTGTGCCACCAACGGGCCTACAGGCTCTAATTCTTGTGAGTAACTAACTTCGGTATATATGTCTTGAAATGAAAACTAACAAGCAAATAAGTGTGGCCCTGGTGTATCACTCAACACATTCACTTCGAACCCCGAGGAATACCCAAAATGCCTTATTCCTGTTGCCAACCGTCCAATGCTCTGGTATGCTCTAGACTGGTCGAAAAGGATGGGCATCACTGGTAAGCGCATTCCCACCGTCGAAGTAGCATGCGGGGCATCCCATGACGCCATGTGCTCAATCGCGAAACATCGGATGGAAGACTGACTATATTAGATGTCACTTTGGTCACTCCTCCCTCTTCGCTCGCTCCCCTCCAGGCCGCTCTACGACAAAATCCACATCTTACTTCACTCCCTTCGCCATCAGTCATCGCACCGGCGGATCTCGAGATGACGACAGGCACAGCAGAGCTCCTCCGTCTGCCCGAGGTGCAGACCTGTATCAAATCAGACTTCCTTCTCTTGCCTTGCGATCTAGTTTGCGAAATCCCCGGAGAGTCTTTGCTTGAAGCATGGATGGTGTCTGGCGGCGAGAAAAATCGTCGGAATGGACTCAGCATGTACTATCAGACACAGGGTCGGGAGGAGAGTGTCAAGGGCGAAGCTGCAGACTTTGTGGCAGTTTCGCCACTTGAGAAGAACGAGGCTCCCACCGTGTCTCATGCCGCGCCTCGTTCCTCGCTCTCCAAGCTAGTTCTTTCTATGCCCATGGCCACATTGAAAGAGAAATTGGAAAATGACAAGGGCTTTCTTGTGCGCCACTCCCTGGTGGATACACATGCGCAGGTGAAGTTGCTGACGACATACCGTGATGCGCATATCTACATGCTACCTTACTGGGTCAAGGACATGGCTCGTTTGAATGAGCAATTCCAGTCAGTCGGTGAAGACTTAGTTGGATGGTGGGCCAAATCGGAATGGCAGCAAGGGCTCAGCGAGAAGCTAAAGATCAATGAAATCTTCCAGCAGAAAAGCCGCCGCCAAAGCCACGGGCTCACCCTAGGGGAGAGTGAAAGCCACGACGGTGAATCCCTCGATGGTGAATCGCTGGAGGAGGAGATTGATCTCCAGAGCATGAGTACTACCAAAGCCACCCCGGCCAAGTTCAGCACAACCGCATCAGACCCCCAATTCGCCTCTCGTGTCAAGGCTCCCACCTCGCAAACTGTCAAGAGTTCCCAGTCAAATCTACCACCGATGCTCGCTTACGTCCAAAAGGACACAGCACCTTTTGTTCGACGGGTTGATTCATCCGCCGTCCTTCTCTCTACCTCTCTCCGTCTTGCTAAGCTGGAGTCTATCGAAGAAGTTGGCCGAGTCGCTTCGTCGGCATTCGCGCACGCCTCCAAAGTGGCCAACACAGCTAGCATCGCGCAACGTTGTACTGTCACAAGGAACGACTGTTTAGTGGATAATAACTCGACGGTTGAGGAGAAATGTGTGATCAAGGAGACCATCATCGGTGCTAACTGCCATATCGCCAGTGGTGCCCGGTTGACTCGTTGTTTGATTATGGACGGTGCTGTTGTTGGCGAACGCTGCCAATTAACGGGTACCATTATCGGTCGCCGCAGCAAGATTGGCCGGGAAACCGTGCTGAAGGATTGTGAGGTTCAAGATGGAAACGTTGTGCCTGATGAAACAGATGCCAAAAACGAGAAGTTCATGATCTTTGAAGGTCTTGACGATGAAGATGATATGGATGCTTCAGAGGATGGCCAAGATTACTGATTCAAGGTGTATTTATCCTAGATAAATGTTTACGAGATAAAAGATCCATGAGATCAAGAACAAAAAATAGAATTTTATACCCCTACCTAGGTACATCCACCAAATTCTGAAAGGTGAAAGATGTGAAAGCCTGACCGATGAGGCAGAGATGCCCTTTAAAAAAGGCACTATAAATGACACCCCCAATATCGGACGTGGTCCGAGCAAGATAGACTAAGAGGCTCATAAATACCACATTATCACACCATGTGTAATGCCAATGGCCAATCCAGTCCACCTCGTGGTTCCCCAGATGCACACTAAAATTTAGTACGGAGTACTGTACGGAGTACACCAATGCAATGCTGGTGCAAGCACGGAACATTTTGAGACGTTGTCTTGGCAGTGGGGATGTTAGTACATTAGGACACGACATGAACTATCCTCCGCACGAATGAGCAGATTTGAATGTTTTTTTTTTAATGTTTTTTGTTTTATTGTCTGGGACTTATTGCCTCCACTTATCAAACATCAGGCCATAGTACGGAGTATGTGGATTCGGGATTTGGACGCGATGTCACAAAGGCGAGAAACAAATAAACGAAGACTCGAGTGATCATCGCGAGGTTCAGGGGAAGATTCGTGTGTTCTCCGCATTTCGCATTTCTTTTACAACGGTAGTGACGCCCTTGGCCTGTGCCCGAACTGCCCCCTGATCAGCCACATAGCACCGTGCATATCATCAAGGATTACCCCATTGAATAGGAGATTAGATTTTCAGCGCACAGAGCTCTAGGGGTAAATGAAATTGAGGGGGTTGTTGTTGTCAGGATGCTTAATCTCGATGATATGCGGTATCAGGCGCAGCCCCCTCAGTATATTGTACGTATGTAATCTAATATGTGCGCTAGTTTCAACTTCGGAAAAGGCCGGTGCTCGTATGGAGAAGGAAATATATTTTGGTTATTCCCCACCAGTGTATGAAGTACTCCATACATATGTTGTACATGTTGTACTCCGTATGGAATGTATAAATGGTTCTAAACGACTCGAGGGGAAAAACAGTGTCTGCCGATCACGCGGGAAGTTATGTATGTCGATCGACGGATTGAGTGGTTTGCAGCAAGTGGGGGGGAAACGGGACAATTTTGACGCGGAGATTTCGGGATTGTATCCATAAAGTACGAGATAGATAAGAATTTCCACATTATCGCCCTCTGTACGGAGTACTCCAACGGAGAACACTGAAAGCATATAACTTATCATAAGTATTTCCCGATTTGTGAGGGGAATTGAATTTTTAGATTCAGCCCTGGAGTGGCGCCGTGCTAATAAGCTGAACCGCGCATGACACGAACTATGTCAAAATAATTGAGGTTATTTTAGCTATGGCTTCGTCATTGTGCATTTACCGGTGAAAGTTTGATATCAAGCTTACTGGGACCAGCCGTTAGGTAGCAGGATATAACTAGTCACTCCGTATAGCGAAGTAGAACATTGAACCGTGCAAAAATAGATTAAGTTTTAGTTTCCTTTTTTTTTTTTCTCTCTGTTTTCAAGGACTGGGAGCCATAGATATGGTCACGCCATGATATATATACTAGGAATTCAGCCTTATTATGGTGTGTGACTTTGAAGAATGTCTCAGATATTATCTTCGGCAGGATGAATTAATATATAAACTACGACTCAACGAGTATCAAACGAGATATGCCACAGATTAGGTTGCAGTGGACCATCACAACCATGGAAACAGCTCGGTCATTTCCAAAGTTCGGAATTTTTAAGCGGAGGGTGTTTTTTCTTGTTCTTGTTTTTCTTTTTGTTTATATTCTGAAATTGTCAAGTTAGGACTCGAAATGTATTTAGTTATACATAAGATAAACGTAGACACAACAGATCAAATAAGTACACTACATGTACTTTTTAAGCAGATGATTCAAACACATGTGGATTCGAAAAGCCGAGATAGCGTCACACTTAGCTTAGTGCAGGCGCAAATCGCGGGACGTGGTGCCAGGCCGATCGGATCCCCCCCAGCTATCCCAGGTAGCTCGCTAATTTCTTCGCCCACGTTCTCTGCAGAAGGTTCAATGTTGTCTTGCGTCAGATTTTAGTTTTTAAGGTACCGTTAGAATAAATGTACCAAGTACAAAGTACAAGATATTTTACATGTTTTCCTATTGGAATACTATTTTACTTAAGAAAATGGGAGGGAAAAAAAAAAGTGGCTATGGAGAAGATGTCTAAGAATATCCAGATGGAGCATTAAGGGGGGACTTGTGATTGGCACATAAATTTGGAGGCCGGGCCCCTTTTCATGAACGGCTTCAGGAGGTGATAATGGAGTATTTGAAGTGGAAGTAGTATATACAACATAGTATATATAGGATGCAGGATAGTATACAGTAAAGTAAACAATAAACAATAAGTACTAGTTAAGTAGTAAATAGTAAATAGTAAACAGTAAAAGTAAACAGAGTAAATAGTACCAAATATATTTCCAAGTCAATAAATACATGGATAATGTTGTACTGCTGTATCATGCAAAGAGACGCATAAGCATAATTAGTTCAGAAATGACAGATTTCCTGTCTATTTGACTATTTGACTATTTCACTATTTGACTATTTGACTTATTTCACTATTTTACTATTTCACTATTTCACCATTTCATTATTATTTTATTTTATTCAATTTCAATCCATTGAATTTCATATATGGAGTATACATAGTACGGACCTAATCTACCCCGTACCGTTTCTACCGTGATCTCTCCGGAACACCCCCCCTCCTCCTATTTTCCCTTCTCATCTCCTCCCCTTCTTCTTCTTCTCCCACTTAAAGTGAACAGGCA